ATATATATATATATATACGCACACATACACAATCATTTTGAATTTGATGCTGCAACATGTACCAAAAAAGCTGGGACAGGGTCAACAAGAGACTGGGAAAGTTGAAGAATACTCAAAAAAACACAGGTTTTATAGTATTCCACAGGTGAACAGGTGCATTGGAAAAAACAGGTGTCATGATTTCAGGGGTAGAAATAAGGATTTTTAGGTTGTTCAGCAGACAACCCGTTGAGAAAATCAGTCAAAATCTTGGGTTGTCCTTTCAAAAAATGATAGTGATACCTCAAAAAAAAGAAAATTTTACGTAAAATTTTAAGTATATTGTTTTGTAGACAAAGTTTACTTTGTACAAATGTTCTCTCATTAGCATTGGAGAGGCTAGCAGCTACCATGGATAAGCAGGTGTTAGCACTGGAGAAGCTGACTTTAGCATTGGAGAGGCTAGTGACTAGCATAGAAACCTGACGTTAGCATCATTTCAGGAGCTGCTTGAGTAGAACTTCTTTGTACTCGTTTGTCATCAGACGTCACAAAGAGACACACAACATGAGCTTTTAAGGCCCAGAAATTAAAGTACCAAAAAGTATTTTGACTGAAAACTTTTCTACACCTAAAGATTCCCACCACCACCCAGTGCCACACATTCATGAGCTTCTTTCTGCTCACAGCTTAAAGGTTTTCATGGCCTCAGTAAAAGTGCACAGTAGTGTTCTCTAATGAAGTGTGCACATTTTAAGAATTTCACCTGCAATATTTAGATTTTTCAGACTGATGACGTTCTAAAGGGAGAGGGATGATTTAAACAAATTTTCTTTAATGAATGTAATTTTAGTGTTTTCAGCTGAAGAACTGTCTGATAGATTTATTTTAAAAATCTCTTGGTATGTTTCTAAAAAAGTTCAGCACAAAACAGCCACCACACCTTAGCAGATATTTATGATAAACACTTGAGCAAACTGTGATTTTAGGGGGAAGTTGATGTCAAATGAAGAAATTGTGTTCTAACGTGGGACATATAAATATTCTTTAATATTATGTTTATAAAAAAGTGCGCTCCTCAGCAGGGCTGCTCCTTAGAGAATCAGGAGTTCATGCTCAGGTTTCACATGTCTGTAAGATAACAACAACAACAACAACAACGCTCCGACATTTTACTGTTTAAAAAATACACAGATTTTAGAGCCTAAAGTCCCAGGCTGATTGGAGGTTGCAGTCCAGCTGCCTCTGAGCCCCAGCTTTGAAAACAAGTTTATTGATGCATGTAAACAACCAGCGTTATGGTAGAACTGTCACATCTGTGAAGCCGCCAGTAATGCTGAAAGCTACGTACAGGTTTTAGTGCAACATATGCTGCCATTAGGCATGGGACGGTATGAAATTATGACGGTATGATAACTTTGGACAAAAATATCACAGTTTCACGGTATGACGGTATTATGATTACAGCTCTAAACATTTTGTTTTGAAATTTGTATTTCAAACCAAAAAAGAAAAAGAAAATAACTTTTCTATGATATTCAACCTTAATTATCTTTGGAAGCTGTTTTTAGATCTCAGAGGTGTTATGCTGAAATTTTATTTACTGTGTGCCTCTGTACTTTATTGATGTTTAGCACCTAATGCAGTTAGATTATCCTGATAAAGTTTACATCTAGTAAGATAACTGCTTTTCTATTGCTTTATTAAGACAAATCAGTGTATACTGCACGAGAAGTCTTTTTATTGAAGTAATGTATCAAGTTTTTTGTGTTTTAAATGACAAAGGGGTGTTTGGCGTAAAGATTATATAATTAAATGCACACAGAAACAAAAAATCACAACTATGAACGCGTGTTTATGAAACGCACGTTTAGCTAACGAGCTGCTCAGCTAAAGGAGGCATTCAGTCTTATCACCTTTCACTTAAAACTTATTAATTACACAATCCAAACAACTCAAACAGTTTTTCAGACAACATGTGATCAGCACATTAAGCCACAGCAACATGGTGATATGTTTCACAATCTGATGCTAAAGTTAGCTTGTTCAGTTCAAGATAGCATAAACTTTACGTGAAGCTGCGATCATGTTAGACGTGTTGCCTCCATGGTCCACACTGCCTTTGTCTTTATGGCATCCTAAGTATTTTCATATATCTGTTTTCAGGGTTCGACAAGATTTTATTTTTTTACCTGCCCGACATGAAATGTTACCTGCCCAAAACAAAAATGTTCAAATTTTGATAAAATAAGAAAAACGTGTACTGTACTTTGTACAGAGGTATATTATATATGACATCTGATTAAACAGATGCACATTTTAGACTGAGTTACTAAC